CAAAAAATCTAACAAAAAATTAAGGGAAATGGAAAAAATTGTTGTTTTTTCACCTCTTTAATTTTTTCTATAACTTTCGTCAACGTAGGATTATGATCAGTAATTGAAGGACATCATTAAATGACTGAAGATAGTATGTCTTTTTTAAATAATAGCGTCAATCCGGCTGTTTTTTACTGATCCTGATGTCGTTGCGATACGGTGGACAACATTGAAGCGAGAGAGTAGGAGAAACAGACAGTTAGAGAAATTTGAAAATGGCAGAAGAAAGTACGAACTTTAAATGCGGGATGAATTTTCAGCAGAACGAATTGCGGCAAGAATGTCGTCAAAGTTCGTACCCTTTTTCCACCATTTTCAAATTTCTCTGACTGTCTGTTTCTCGTACTCTCTCGCCCCAACGTTATCCAACGTGAAAGTTACAAAATTTGCAAGAGAAAAGTAGCCATATTCATGGTATTTTTCTGAAATAGACATTATTTTCAGCTGTTTGATGATCATCTTCAAATACTGAACAAGCTTCTGCAGTGAAAAGTGCTCTACAAATAAGGAAGGAAGGGAAAAACAACAATTTCCTTATCTAGCCTTCGTTTCTGTTAAATTCTCCGGTTTCTTAAAATGTTAGCTGCGAAGCATTTGAGGTCAGGAAACAACTTATTCTTTCCGCTGTTAGTGACAACGCTATAAGTAAGGAAAAGAAGGTGCTAATGATATGATTTTTTTTGTTTTTTTTTTCTTATTTACATCGGTAATCGGGAGAAAAATAACTGAGCAGAAGAAGTATATGTAAATATCGAAAAGAAACAGGTAATTTTTCAAGCTTTTCTCTGGTAAAGCCGTGAGTTTAGCTTGGAAATTACGTATTCCAGTGGACTCACTGTTTTTAATTTTTACAACACTCCTAATGTTACGTTTTTTTGCTTAGGCAATAATTATTCAAAATAAAGGTAAAGAAAAGGACTGAAAGATGCACTTTTGAACAATGTAATCTGTCATTTAGTGACAGTTTTGTAGTCAGTGTACAACAAGATATGAAAGAATAACATCCGAAAAAAATACTCAAGTATATACAGATCAGTTTGATTCTTCTACTTAAGACGCTGCAGTGTTGCTGTCTTTTTATAATCATTTTAAAATACAGTTGAAAAAGCCTCTGATTTTAAAGCTTATTTGATGTTACATACATAAAATTTACTGCAGTAAAACCTTTTGTGAGATTCCGTTTTGTTAACCTTTTCTTTTCCACCCCTTTCTCCGCTTTCTTGAAACAGTTTCTCTAGCTCACCAGTGATTTTATACACTCTA